AGAAAGAAAGCCAGGTAGGTTCAAACACCCACCCAAAGGGCTCATCCTGCTGATGGATTCGAACCACGACCTTCTTGCTGGTAGGCGTTAGTATCATGACGCAGTCACTAACACCGCCATGCATCATTTGAGACAAAGTAGGCTCATTTTTAAGTGTAAATGATGTAAAGCAAGTCTAGTAGAGTCAACAATAAAATATAAAATGTGTTATATCAACACCACAGGTCCCTTTAATATAAAGGAAGTAACAAAGTTAGAGTACCTTTGCAAGCGTGTCGTCCCAAGTTAGCAAGGTGAAAAGTTTGCGTTGCGGTTCCTGTACAGCCAAGGCCAACGCCTGGATCAGTTCCTCCTCCTGCGGACCTCTCCCAACCACAAAAGACACACATGCCTGCCACGAATCCTGGGAAGGGCAATACGTTTTACGATATACCACTGCAATACACCCCAGTCACAGGCTACATTATTTCATATCATATTTATACATATTTGCTTTGCAGTATATGACAGCTCGCTTTAGGCTCAGTGATGGAGCAATTTATGCTAAGACAAATGAAAAAAAAATTTACGTTAAAGAAAAAAAAAGAAGAAAAAGCTTTTAAGAAGCATAACAACGTTTACTAATAACATTTAGGGATGTCGAAATTATAACTTCCGGTCTGAAAAATCGAAGCTGCCTGATCTGGCTAATCGCACGCGCGCACCCATAACCTGCCCTTAGACTCGGTTAACGCCTTATGAGAAAACTGCGATATTCACTCAGTGTAAAGAGGATAGAAATGTTTCCAACAAACTATTTAAGTTCAGCCAAAAAAAGTGGTCAGTGAGACGACAAACCTCTTCAAACTCTGCTTTGATGAGACCAGTCTCCCAGTTCTTGTTTACTGCGCCTCCATCAGTACTGGACTTTTTAGCAGAGCCCTTTTTAGCTCCCTTTGGTGGCATTTCCGCTTAGTGGTAATTCAACAACACAGAGCAGTGAAAACAGTAATGCAATTTTCGAGTTAGAGATCAACTTTAGATTACTAACTGTGAGTTGTCATCTGGTGCTCATGTTGCCCCTGGTAACCGCAAGGGCACGAGCGTCAAGTAATGTTTCCAGAGTAGGACTTCCTGTAGACTTTCAGAACAAAAGCTTGACGGAACGCGCCTCCCTGTTTACAAATTCGCTGTTTCGTCGTGTTCGACGTTAGCAGTAAAAAGGTACGAAAACAAGAATTAGAATATAATAAAATCTGCTTCGTTTTTAAAGACATAACCTTTTAGTCTAATGTTGCTGTCGTTTGCTGTCTCCACTAGATGGCCGTATTATACTTTGTCTGCAGCTGCGCTTTCACAGCAGAGTCGCAACCCATCGTGAATCAAAACTTTACAAACCAAATGCAGGTCGTTGCTTACACAGTTTCAGTGATTGTTATATCTATAGTAGTACATGGTAATCAGTTCTTAAGTTCAAAGCATTTGGCTTTGTAAGCCTAACCAAAAAAAGAGCTCCCATTTACCAGTTGAATAGATTCAAACCTGAGCAATATTGTCACTGTGCCCAGACGGTGAACACTGAAAACAGCTGATTAATTTCTGTGATAGAAACAGTGATCCAGAGCAACTGAGACTAGATAATGACGGCACATACACTTTTTAAAATCCCTATAAAGCAGTGGTTCCCAAACTTTTTTTGCTGGGCTCCCCTTTGTTTTACAAGAAAAATGTTCGTCCCCCCAACCCCACGCGCACACGCACGCACAAACACATCCTCCATCCACACGCACCCATATTTTGCTCCACTGCGGTTTATTTCACACCTCAAACATTTAGTAAACAATTAAGCAAATACAAGTAATCTGCAATAAATGACAGGTAGTAATGAAATAAACTACTAAGTCTTTTACGCTACGTCCACACCTGCATGGATATTTTTGAAAACGCAGCTGTTTCGTTCACACGTAAACGGCGTTTCCAATCACCGAAAACGGAGATTTTTTAAAAACTCCTTTTTCGTCTTTACGTGTGGACAAAGAATACAGAGTTCGTCACGCAACATTAAAGGTATGTGCCTTTTCCCACGTCACGCTGTGCACCACGTTATTGTTTACATGAGATGAATTGCAGAATGGCAGATTAACAGTATTTTGTCTCTATCTTCAGGTTTTACACGCTTACATATAAACACACAGTTACTGTCCCTCCATTTACAAAGGCAGAGGCCTCACGGTGTAATTATTTTACATGTAGTTGTTTTTTCCCTGTGTAATAATATTCAACATTGCTATCAATACATTAAAAAAAAGCCTCTCTGTGCAAAATGGGTTTAAAAACATAAACAGCTGTTGGATACTGTTTGTCCGTGATTTGAACAGGGGGAACAAATCGTGGCAGGATCAGCCTGATATTATTTGTATCCCGCTGTAACTTTACTGTATAAAGAGCCAACATCTCCAAAATGTCAGGAGTAGTTAGTCATTACAAGTGTTTGTGAACTAAAAATCAAAAAAGGGGGAAAACGGTTGGCCCGGAATTGGAAAACCCAACCCCGCCCCCAACAAAGGAAAAACAAATTCGCAAGGGGAGACCTACCTCAGCACTTGTGTGAAACCAAAGGGCAGATATGCTTCACCATATTTTCTAGTCTTTGGCTTAGAATGAAGTTGGTTTGGAAACATGTTCAGCTATGCTTCATCTCCTGCTTTGCGTTTGTGTGGGAGCCCCCTGCTAGCAGTGTCCAAGCATTGTTTTTTGTTTTTTTCCCTTTTCAAACCGCCACCCCCCCCTAGGGGGCGGGGCCCACACTTTGGGAAGGTCTGCTATAAAGGATGGTGAAACAGTTGTTGTACAATATGAGCCAAGCAACAAGATAAAGGTTAAATATAGCAGCCATGGACAAGAGCCTTCAGTTCAACGTTCATATATTCATTAATTTCAATCATAATGCAGTCAGTGTTGAAAAAAGAAACCAGCCTTGGCAAGGTTTTATTTTACAACAAGACTTTAAATGCTAATCAGGTGAATACACAGATTTAATAAATCTAAAGAGGTTGTGACCACTTTACCACCCCAGCACACGCTCAGACAGTAATTTAGCAATTCATGATAATATTATTTATATTCTTTTCAATCGGTCTGCTTGATGTTGATGTTCTTTTTAAAAAGAATAGGATACTATCATCTGTTTTAAGTAAACCAGTGCATTCATATTATTGATTTTGTCCACTGAAACATCATTTAAACTACTTCTCATATACTTTGGCATAAACTTTGCTTTACTAATCCTTAACTTTATTTTTTTAAGGAAGGTGACAAAACATGAAAATCAGTGATGCCAAAAGCATTTCCTGTTTAATTTCAGCGCAACCCATCCATAACCCATAATTTCTAGTGAAAAACATGAGAGATGTTCCCCAACCACGTCCTGTGGGTCAGACTGCCTGTTTAGTTCTGGTTTCCGAGGTATTTTTATTCTTGGCACATATCCTCACAAAATGTTTATATTGCACACATTACTCTGGCTTTGTATGTTAAAAGCAAAAAAAAAAAATGCTTTGTGTAAAATGAAGGCTTATATATCTACTGGGCATCTGTTAATGGGCACACATTCAGTTATTCAGTTGAATCTTCCTTGCTCTGTTCATATTACAAACAATTTCATGCATCTCTACATCTTTGTTCCCAAGCACAAATTCTTAATAACCACAATGGGCCACAGTTATGAGGGCGATATGACCCAGGTGACCAACCTCTATCAGCTCCGCCATAAATGGTCAGAAGTGAGACAACGCCCACCTGCGAGATGCCAGAGAAATCTGTGCTTGAAGCCGGGGGGGGGCTTCATTAGTTATGGAGGAACTGTCATCTCCAAACCTTCCAGAGGCAGTGTCCTACAAAGGTCACACACAGCCGCCACATAAACACTGTAGTGACACTTATATAACAGTCCGCATACTGAAAATAGCATAGCAACATCTCAAAATATCCATTTCTTTTAGTCCTGCACTGCTATTAAACTTGCGCATCATGTGCCTGCAGGGGCTATTTCATTACGTCCAAGACCAGTCATAAGAGTTTATTTAAAATCTCGGCTCACTCAATACTCAAAATAATGCACCTTGCACAACTAAATATCAAATATCTCAGTAGGAAGGAAATATGACGTCACATTCTCGGGAAGGTACTACCTGCACGTTCGTTACAGTTTATTACACCCTCGTGGTATAAATTGTAAATCACGTATTTACAACCTGTTTAACATCATTCAGAGGCTAAGCTTTCGACACATATTCACTAGTTCAGCTGCAGCTCATAAGCACCTTCATGCAACTGTGGAAGGAGTGTTACAGACTCATGGCAATGGAGGAAAAGTGAGCATAAAATAACCCAAAACAGAAATGCATTCATTGTAATGCAATCCATCAAATCGGTCCTACCATACATACTGTCCTTAAAAGTTAAAATTACTTTTCTCACCAGGAATTTTCTACATTTAGATCTACATTACATGTCCAATAAATTTTTATGGCACAAGGTTCACGGAGAAGACAAAGATCTGATGACGTGAAGACAGTTTAAGTATTAGGGAAACTGTCGCTGGAGTCTTCACGTCATCCTACATTTGATACTATGTCATGGATTGTAAGTTTCTTAAAATTGAAGCCCCCACGGATACATCAGAAAAAGATGATTAGGATATTACGCTAGGCGGGACTCGTACTAAATAAACATATCTCATGTCACACAGCGCTGATAAGAAATGTCTACTTTTAATCCAAAAAGAAAGAAACGTTGGTGTTTTTCCACAGTCACTGTACTATCTTCTTACTTTTAAGGCTAAATTAAGCTCGGCACAGCACATCCTACAGCCACTGAAACTTTGCAGGCCAAAGCAGATTTAACATCTCCCTCTTGAACATCACATGCTGCCTGCTCCAATGGCAGCAAGAGTCAAGTGTTTTAAAGATAGGTATTTTGATACCCAAACATCATGTGATGAAACTCGTAAACATGAGCTTGAACACTCAACCCAACCACCTAACGCCGCCTTCTTCTTTCTTCGGATGGAGGGCTCATTTTTTCTCTTTTGTGCAAACAAAGCTGAACATAAAGTGACGTTTTTTCAAATTAAGTTTTATCGTCTAACTTTCAAGAATTTTATTGTTTCCTGGTGTGAGATAAAGATCGCGGCATCACAGGGCAGCTGATCCAGAATCACTTATTACCTAATTCCAAATGGGGATACTGACCTCCTGTTTTTTTGCTTGGTTGGGTTTTTTTTCTATGTTTATGCTATGTCTGCTTGTGAACTGACATACCCAAAAGATGATGAGGCAATAGGGAAAAGGTATTGTTTACTTAGAACATAAACAAACAATCAGATAAACATATCTGCATTACAAGATAACCCCGGGTCCCAGAGTGGCATGCATTCTCCTTTTAGTAAGTTCATCAGATTTCCATCTTCCCAGAAAGACCTTGCTCTACGGGTCAGGAGGAAACATGGAATCAAGCCCAGCTCATCTCTCAGGAGTCAGGAACAAATAGGCCTATCCAGTAACTCGGATAAGCCCGTGGGGATGGAGAGGCATCAAAAGCCGATAAACATCTGTAGGCTGTTTGTGCAGGGTAAGCAGTATGCATCCGTCTGATCGGTGTGATCGACTCCACAGCTGTGGCGGTAAAAGACCCCTTTCACAACCGTCAATGTAACTCACGCTGCGCAGGGGTGAGATGAATCATGTTGACACCGAGGATATCGAGCACCACAAGCAGATTTACTAGCTTCAGCAAACGAGTTGCCGAGCCAGTACAGTGCGCTAAGATTTTCCTTTTTTTCTTTTTTGGTTGCAGCAGCATGACAAGGGCCTCAGTACTTTTCCATGAGGCAAGATATTATGGCAAAGCCTCCCTCAGTAGGAGGATTTGCCAACTCTGCCTTTTCATGGACAAGGACCATAAATCAGGGGAAAATGCTAATGTTGCAAGGGACTTATTGACAAAGATCCTTGTAAGATGTAGTAGGTGGAATGAGAAGGCCTAAAGTAAATCTATATAACAATGGGGACAGGAGGAAATTAGACTGTAACTTGGGCTTCAATTTAACCTGTTTTTTCCAGCCATGAATAATCAAGTGTGGTACACTATCAATCTAAAATTTGGACACCTTTATTTTCACGACTATTTACATTGTAGATTCTCACTGAAGACATCATAAACATATTTAGAGTTACTTACTTTGCTACATAAAAAATGAAGTAAAAAAAATAAAATAAAGAAGAACAATTAAATGACAAAGTGTGTCCAAACCTGTGACTGATAGTGTATCTATAGAAATATTAGACATAGCGATGAATTGTATAGCACATATTCTTTGTGGATCTTTTGTGTTTATGGGCTTCGCAGTTCAGATCTGCGCCGCTGACCCACATTAGCACAGCAAAGCAACGGGATCAGAGGTCGTTACGTGTGACGCCAACCAGACGATCAGAGCTTCATTGTCCTGCACAAGGACTGTATGCAGCGCATCTTGCACAACATCATGTGACTCTGCCACTAACCTGCTGTAACCCCTGCGGCCTGTTTCGCCACTTGAGCATGACCGGCGTGTTGCCATAACTAACGTTTTACACAAATGTAAAAAGTTGTAAACAATTATGACAGTAATTCCTTATTAAAGCAAAACTAGGAGGAATCTTGTCATGCACCACACGAGTCTCATAATCTTTTGCTCATCTCACTCGCATTTCTCACAAGTTTATTAAAATCCCAACCATTCAAGACAATGAGAGAAATGTCACACAAACACTGCAGGTACACACAGCGGCAGCCAGTGAGCTTTATGAGCAGTCAGGAGAGTGGCGTGTGGAAACCTGCAGAACAAATTACATTTAAGCTTTTAAGGATGAAGTAAGTGCCACATTCTTGTCAAGATCTTGTAATGCCTGTTGCTGTGTCTAAAAGGTGAATTATCCCCGTTTTGCAGGCTTTGCCATGACAGGATATCCATGGCAACATAAGAATGGAGAAAAGAGCACACGTGGAATCAAAAATGAACATTAAAGTGATTTTATTGTCCAAACAGACAACTCAGTTTGTTTCAACATCAAATTTGAAAAACAATGGAAGTTAAAAAAAAATAAAAAGGGGGAGGGGGATTTGGGACTTTTTTTTAACAAGTTAATTGTTAAAACAAATACACATCACTTGGGCGAACCATCCTTTAATAATTTATAAAGTCTCTGCATTGAAAAGGTGCATCAGGCGGAGGAGGGGGGGGGGTAAAAAAATAAAAATGCAATAAAACATTTAGAAAGAGACGCAGCTGTGACATAGCTGTGTGAAAAAAAAAAAAATGTGCGTGAGATTTAAGGCATCCACATATTCCCCTATAGTGTGGGAAGTCCCACACCATGACAGCAGCATCTACGCAAGACATATAGTCTTAAAAACAATCACAGCCCTAAATACAGCATCACACAACCAGAATATGGCCCCCGAAAGACTAAATGTCAGACTCTTATTCAGCCCTCTGTGTGCGCGCTGTGGCTGAGCGTTCAACGTATCTGGAAACACACAGATGCCTCAAGAAAGTGTCTAGTGTCTTTAAGAAAAGTGTACCCGACAGTATGCCCCTCTCACACTTTGGGATCGGTTTACATTCATCTGCAAAAAGTACAACTTCAAATGGTGTTTGAGCAACTCATGTTAGAAAACACACAAACACCCAGAACATTACAATTTTGCTGATTTAAAAAGAAAAGAAAAAAAGACTTGAATGAGAACAATCAGGCTTTCTGATGCACAAGCTTCTGGCTTTACATCCAAAGCTGACTGGCTAATAGTTAACACTGCGCTGTACAAAAACACTGTAGAAAACGTGACACCACTGGAGTGTCATTTACATTTGGGCAGAAGTGCATTTCCCAACAGGAAACCCAATATCCAAATCCCCAATCCCTACAAAAGTTCAGCACTCCTCAATCACGGTACCTGCCGAGGAGGAGTACAGTTTTTTCTTAACGAGACGGAAACCTGGACTCAGTTTAAGTGCGTGCCTAAAGGTCGGCGCAAAGCAGGTTCCCATAAAAAGAAAGTCCCGCAGGCTGGGCCAGGCGGTGCCATCCTGCTTAAAAACAAGAGTCAGCTCAAATGTAGGCACCACGGTGGCATCGTACACAATGCGTTCGAGCTGCTTGCATCCCTTGTCCAACTCCAGGTGGACGTAGAGAACAGAGCCGCGCAGACCGCAGGGCTCGCAAGATGACAGCCGCAGGACTTCACGAGCTATTCTCCGCGTTAGCTTCTCTGGTACCAGCACAGAGGAGCAGTGTAGCGTTGTCTTCTTAGCCCGCGAAAGGCAGTTTTCAAACATCTTTGCCAGCTGCTGACAGGTTCTGTCCTCAGTGGCATCTGCAGTCCTCTGGGTCTCATCTAAGCAGTCTAACCAGACGTCCAGTCCTGGGAAAACAAGGCAAGATAAACATTTAAAGGTCAGATAATCCTGACTTAATCATATCAGCTGCAGTAAAATTGAAAGGTATTTTATTAGGTCAACTGGGACAAATCACAAGATTTCAACTCCACCAATGACTGAAGGAATGGGTCTGTGTTTGTATGCTTTTCAGCTGCCTTGTGTGAATGTGTCAACAGTCCCTTAAAAACGAAATACCATCTCAAGAGTCTGAGCTGCACACCCACAAAATATCATGTTTCTGCAGCACAATCTTGTAGCAATGTGCAGAGAAAGACAGCCTCAGACTTGCCTTTAATCGTGGGCTGCTGTTTCGCAAACAAACTGAAGGGATGACTTCATCTGTACCCGCCCCCTCCTCCTCCCCACTGCTGCAGCCATGCACCACACAGGGATAAACAAGCGCACAACTAGAAGTATCCAGCATCTAGCAGGTTAGCTACACAAACAAAAAGAAAACACTAGTAAGCTCACCTGCATCAATGCAACCGTGGTCATATCTTCTATCCGCCAATTCTGAAACACACTCGCTGCTTTTGGGCTTTAACGTGCTCGTAGCAACCATGGTGATAGCCTGTTTCTCCTGGAGTCGGCCGTTTTCCCGTAGTTTTAGAAAAGCTGCCTGAAAATAGTAGCGTCATTGTGTCAGTCCAAGCGGATGGTTTGAGCTATATTTAAACAAATGACTAACTGAGGTAGCTACCTCAGGATGCTAAAACTTTCAAAATGTAGCACCTAAAAGACAAAAAGCCGTAAAAAAACCTAAACAAATAAAAACTTAAACCCCTCAATTCTTAACTGCTAGCTTAAAAGACACTCATTCGCAGCATTAAACGACTCACCTTAAATATTATTTAATACAAAATAACTTAATTTAGACGGTTCCTCATGAATAAATTCGCGCACACACACATTAATATAGAAACACACACACTGACAGTCAGACGTACTGCAACGGGGTGAAACTTCTGAGGGTTATTTATACCCTCGTCTACTCAGCTGACCAGAGGGCTTGACCAATCAGGCGCTGGACGCGGGACACAGCTCCTTTCCGATTGGCTGCGAAATAGCATTTAAATTAATTCATTGACCAATACTTGGGGGTGATTTCTTGTGTTGCTACGTGGGCAAGATAACACGCCGTAACGTTTTTGTATTCATTTTAAAGCGTTAACTTCGCCCGAAACGTGTTTTAATATGCACTCAACGCTTCAGCCACCTGTTTGGTAGATTATGGGTCACCAGCAAATGTTAATAAGCTATCTATGACTGTTTCATTATTATTATAGAGAGACCTCGAGCTATGTTTAAGCCTGTAACCAAGCCACGTGAGTTTTCATATTGCTGTTTGATCAGAAAACGCAAAATATTTTTGTAATCAATAAGGTAAACGAATAAAGAAAAAATAAAAGTTAAACTACACACTTTAAAGAACGGGTGGTTAATTAATATTCCCAATGTGTCACTTGATAGACTGGGACTGCACCAATAAGCTGAACTCATTACTGTTCAGTATCAAGTTTATCTCTTTGTGAACTTATTCTGGTGGCCCTCCACAACAGTCCCAGATTCTCATGTGGGCCCTTTAAAAACAGATTTTTTTTTAAAGTAACTTTATTCATAATTTTATTAGCTGTATTGACACAACGGTACCATCTAGAAAATTTGAGGCAAAAGCTGAAAATAAATCCCTTTTTCATCTCAAATCCAATTTTTGTGAACCTCACCCCAAACACAGAGTGCACAATGTCCTCATCAAAAGGACACACTGCCGTATGAAAGACCTTCATCCTAACACAGAAGATCAGTAGACGAAGTCTGAGTGGGTTTCACTTCCCAAAAGTACAGTTATGAGTAAAGTGTGCAAACATTTCTCCAGATATTCTTTTAAACCAGATCAAAATGTGAATTTCAGGATTGTGAGGCAGGAGGAAGCCCTTTGACTATAGAGCCGCTGAGCCAAAAATGTCTTGTCTTACTGTATTGTGTGTATACATTTGGCAGGCAACGCGGCGAGCACAGTTGTTCAGTTCATCAGCGGTTTATCTCTCACCACTCACAGTCTCAACAGAGTTTTTCTCCCAGTAACTGGATCTGACCCTCTTACCCCCAGCAGCTCTGCTGGCTAAAGGGTAATGGAATCCAGTGGGCGAGGGAGAGACGGAGAGACCAAGCGTTTTCCACCGGTCACATGGGGGGAACTAGATATGCCCTGGAAAAAAAGTCACATTCTTTAATGTTGCTGCTTTTGTAGATGCAGAAATATACTGACATGTGTTAGGTAAGCAAGGACTTTGGTAAAGTTCACATGTGTCAAAAACACAGCAAGGACAGAAAGAGCTGTCATTATGGAGGCGGTGGTAATGAGGTTTGGACTGACATTTATGAAAAATATGCAAGGTCGTTAGTAGCTGTCTAAGGGGTAGAAGTGGGTCAGGGGCTCTGAATAAGGAGTACTTGTACTTTAGGTAGATTACAAGTAGAAGTAAAATAATTTCCCAGCTCTTATGCAGCGCCTCTTAACATCATCAGTATTAGGGCACAGTCCAGCACATAAAACTCTGTATCTAATCGTTTCAAAGCCAGCAATCAACATTTTACACCCTGCAATTAAAATTTACAAGCAAGAAGAGATTCCTTTGAAGAGATATTTATCCAGGTCATCGAGTAAAGTTTAAAATAATCTAGACACTTCTATATTCTAAAGACTATCATCTCGAGTGTCAGCTGCATGACATATATCTGCCATAAAGAGAACACCGTGTGTGATTTATTCCAGACACTGTGCCCGAGACCTGTCCTGCAAAGCTCTGGTTCTTATCTTGCAGGCGTTGTTGTAATTTGCAGCAGTGGGAGTTAGCTGCAGTAGCCTGGGCAGCAAACTGATTCGTGCAGTGTCTACAACACAAGCATTTCTTAAGCACTCGGAAATTGAGCTCAGGAGGTGCAGTGCGTTTGCACTTCTGCACAAGATCACATCCACTTCTGCTCGTTTTGCTTTGTGCGTCAAACATCTGCTCCACTGAAACAGCTGAGAGCAGGCCCCTAATGTGAGGCACTGCTGCGTTCGACCTTAACCTCCTGTCAGTAAGTCGAGTCAAATCCGAATCCGCTTGATAATTTTTCCCCAACTCCTGTTTCCCTGAATGAAGCAAAAGATGAAACGTGTCGGGTCTCGGGTTACTAATCCATTCTGGTTCAGATGAGCCTTCTCTTATCCCCTTGAGGACACGTGGTATGCCGATCTGGGACTCGCCTCCATCCAGTAAAACGTGCCCCTCGTTGACCCCGCTAGGAAACTGAATAACAAGAAGCTTTTTGCTGAGTTGCATTTCAGGAGAAAGCAGGTTGCATGTGCCGGGGTTCATATCGGTGTGTAGCTGCGTTTTGCTGGTTGTACATTTAAAAAAGGACTTACACACACACAGAAAAAAGTTAAACCTATTCTTTAAAGTCTGTGGGTCATGAAGGCTTTAAGTTATCACTTTATAAATTCAAACATAAAAGGCTTTTATGTGTCACACAGTGAGCTCAAAATCTCTGTTTTCACAGGCAGCTTGAACAGTTTTAATTAACAAATGAAAAATGTTCTGAAAGGCATCGTTTACATCTCAGCAATATTAAAAAAGGCAACTTTTATCCCCAGTCCATGGTTTTGTAACTTGTTGGCTGGTCATCTGTGAAGCGCTGTGTCCGGGGCTGACACCCATTCAACTATTTCACGGCTTCAAACGATCTGAAATACAGCAGCTTGGTTTTTAACAGCTGCTAAGAAAAGAAAGCACATCGCTCCCTTCCTAGCTTTTTAAAGGCTTTAGTGGTTTACATTTCTGATCTGCTCGCACTATTCTCTGCCCCAGGTCACTTAGGTCATTATCACAACTGCTCCTGTCAGACTTCTTTATTCATTTCTCAGATTTAAAGCTGTCTGACCCCAGATTTGGATGAATCTCCTACTTCAGCTCAGATCGTGTCCCACAGCTGATGTAAATGTAAACTCGACCTTTTCTTAAACACTTTTACAGCTTTGATGCGTTGGTAGTTTATTCATCTGTTTTTGTAATCCTTGCCAGTTACTTCCTCAGATGCACAGTTTTACTGTCCCCTCTAAATGCATCGACTGTAAAGCGCTTTGGGTCGAGTGCTGCTGTTATTAAATGTGCTTTTAAAATAAAATGACTCAACGTTAATGTGAATGTTTCAAATGGCAGTTAAAGAAAGCCCGCTATGCTCATTTCTATTCTGCAAAGCATGCACTTTTAGTTAAGAAGGCTTGTGCCTTAAAATGTAAAAAGACAGAAGGATTCAGGTTTGTAACAACAGGAACAAAAACATGTGGGAGAAAATAACAAGCAAAGATACATATTGATTATTTAGAGTCAAGAGAGGAGAAGGGGTCGAAAAGGGGGACAAACACACTGAGCAGGAGAGCGCGAAGAAAGCTCCCCACGATGCCCTGAATGTCACAGCCCCGGCCACAGCTGTTAGCGCATTTTATTTGTGTGTGGAGGGTCTTCTGCCAACCTGCTCGCCGTGTCTTTGATGGAAACGTGCCCACAGTCCAAGCTGTCACCCGGTCTCATTTTACGAAGGCCACGGTCAGACCTAACAGGGCAGTGTGTGAATCAGAGCAAAATGAAGGTCATGAGAGATTTTATGTTTGATGTTATATACTCAAAACACCATCTGGGAGGGAGGCTCTTGAACTTATTTGTTACGCACTGTGTGGAAATATGAAGAAGAAGCTGAGAGGTGTGTTTGACTATCGTTGCTTATATCTCACTCCACTGTCAACAACCTCTTTGGAACCTGGCTGCAATAAACAGCAGCCAAAAACATTTCTTTGCTCTTTCATTCTGTAGTTACCTGTTGGCTCCCTCTAGTGGTGAATCACTTAACTCACACCATTGGTGTCCTACAGCTCGCTCACAAAGAACCACAATTAAATACAATAAATTAGAACTTTTAATTTATTTTAATGATTAAATTATCCATTTAGCACATCTCCTATATGCTATTTCAGATCTATCAGAAGATGCATATGATATGTATATGGTAAAAAACAGGGCAGCACAAAAAAGACATTTTCCAGTGATTTATTGAGGAAATTGATGATGACAAATTCCAGCCACAAAGCATAAAGTAGTTCCAGTGTCTATAAATCCAAACAGCCTTTTGCATCTGCTTTAGTTATGAGTGCTTTGGTGCAACATTTGTAGAAGAAAACCCCACAAAAACATTTAACAGACCCTCTGTTGCAGCAAATTCCTATGTGAGCTGAGTTACACGCGCAAACAAGTCGTCCTAACAGCAAATATCTAGCGCACATCAAACAAACCCCAAACCTTCATAATTAGCAAAAAGGCTCAAGGCAAGTAAAAAGTAAATGGCAGATAAGAAGGTAACGAAAGGATGATTACAGAGTTATAAAGCGTATGATAAGACTAACGTGAAGGATCTGGGGTCACTACACAGGAAACATGTTTGCGGCAGTAGTTTGCACAAATAAAGGCTGCATAAATAATAAGTCACCACTGTCATTTAATAGGTGGCGCGTCAGCTTCTTTAGATGAGCTTTGCGGTCCTTACTTTTGAGATCAAGTTCGTTTGTTTTAAGATTTATCATCGCAGTCACACGCCCTACTTCATAAAACTGCTCTCTGCATACAGAATCACACTTGAAAGCATCTTTTATTTTAAAAAAAAATTAAAATATTTCATTACAGCTTAAAAAAAAGGAGACCTAGGATCGAAACAGCTTTCTCAGACCATCAGTGTGTGGGCGGCGATGGTGACTCTTCTTATCTGGCTTCAGCTGAAACACACAAAAGAACAGGAGCAATTCATAAAACTGATTTTCCAACCTGAAAAGTCAAAAAGGCCGTTAAATTGTGATTTTCATCTTATTGCGTTTGCTGTTTTAAAGCTCCGCTCCAGCAGCCTGCAACAAAACAAACCCTTCTTTTTTTTTCCTCATCAGAATTCCTGAAGCGTTATTCCATTTCCCTGCCAAAGGCATGCAGGCCTGACTGGGAAGGAAGGCACTGCATTCGTTGGCCAACTTGTGTTTTATAGTAGGTGGAGTGAAGGGGTAACTTAGGGTGTGTGCGCAAACTATGCTTGACATGCGCGCCCGTGGATGTGCTCGTGCCTTTACGCACGCACGCCTCCGTAGCATGTGGGGCCACGCTGACATTTACCCAGTGCACAATAGGTCGCGTCCAAAATAATCTGCGTTTATGTTAGGATGTCCCTATCTTTCAAGCCCTGCTGCTTGTTTGAGGGCGGGGGGCGCGAAATCACAGGAAACACCTTCTGCTGCCTAGCTAAAGCCCCAGAAGCCCCATACAGTACAATGAGGATATTAAAAGCCCAGCACTTCCCTGGGATAATTGAAATTCGATGTCTGGAGAAACAGTTTCACCAAGTGATGGAAGAATGCGCAAACAGAGGGAAGTCGGGAGGAACCCGCTGCAGGAAATAGAGGGAAGGCGGCTCACCGTTCTCTTCTCTTCCTGATGATTTAACTCCGAGGAGCATGACGCCATCCTTGCTGTTCTCAGCTCTCTGGAAAGATGCGCTGTGAAGGGTTTTAAAGAGATAAATGTTTGGCTTTTCTTCACACACCCTGAAAATGGCATAATCTGTCTGATCTTTTAATATCAAACTCACTTCTCAGTTCCAGTGTCGACGGTTTCTGTTCAGCAGAAGACAATTAACAGAAGGCAATGATAAGCACACATGCTTGTTTGAATTAAAATCATTTTTCAAATCATAAATCCCAGTGTAAGCACTCGTGCATGGGCGTCCTGGCAGAGCATGTACCTGTGGGGTTGTGGACTTTCTTGGATTTGAATTTGAGGACGATGGCGATAGCAGCTGCGGCCAGGATGGCGGGCAACACAAGCCACCACAGCTTTTTATCTGGGGGAGGGGAAGACGAAGGACACGGCCATCAGTATCCATCTGGTGTGACGTGCGTCTTCCACATTTGCGTCTAACCAAAGGGCAGAGCAGTGATGTAGCAGCTGCAGAACCACGCAGTTTGGACTTTCGACCTTTAACGGCCCTTCTACCAGCACGTGAAAATGGACTCTGCATTGCAGTGCAGAGTTTTATCCCCCAAATCATTAAAAAGTTAAAAAAAAATTTTTTTAAAGTCTGTCAACATAATATGTGACCTTTTTTAAAACAAGATTTTATTGGATTGGGCTATTTTAAAGGTTTTGGAGCCCTGCAGTGGAATGATTCAGCCCTCTGAGGTGGCAGAGTCAGTGGGCTGGGCAAATGGGAATCTCAGTAATTACTGTGTATTTTTTTGCCCACACATCAGATATATGTAATCAGGAATCCCAAATTGCTTGCGGTGTTGCTGATACTGTAATCCCCAGTAGGACACTAGTTTTCTGTTTTGATCCGTTTTCCTTTTTTTTTCTTTGCTCTGAAGCTTTTTGTGCTTTCAAGTTCAAGGTTTTCATTTAACAAACGATACTCACAGTCTATGCATTCATCTTCATCTCTAGATTATAAGTTAATCATATGGAGGACCAGAAGAGCTACATATCAAGATCATTCAATATGACTCAGTGAAAATGAAATGAATGAATGAATATCTACATTTACTTGTTGCTGGCATTTAATCATATACCATTTATTTAGTGTCTATATTTTTATTGGCAGCTTTGGTCCTCCGTACAGTTTCAGCTGTGAGAGGCTGCAGCTGCTGCATCGCTGGTGTGCAAAGTCAGACTGATTAGCTTTGTTACCTGCTGATTTCTCCTCTGTTTGACCCGCCTGAGAACCTTTCAACGACACACATTTTGATTTGATTAAACACGGTTGGGATGTCCATTCATGACCTCACGTTTAGCTCACTGTACACAGGATCACTTACCGGGACTGTTCTCCTGAGGGGTCCTTTTAGTGGGAGGTGATGATGTCCTTGAAGATCTGCTTTGAGAGTCAGTGGTGTTTTGTTGTCCTGTCACATTTAAATTCATTATTTATTTATATATTTCATCAATTAACGTAATTTATTTTATTTTTTTTACTCAAAGACGGTTCTGGTTTCAATTATAATGTGTGGAGCTGTTTGGGGATTTCTTTTCATTTCAACATTTTCAACAAGGACGTGCTGAAGGATGGTTATCAATAAGAGAAGAGGGCACAGAAGGAAAAAGAAAGCGAGGGAGGCAAACAATCATGTCGATACAAACAGTACTGTACCTGGGGCAGGAGGAATGTTACCTGTGGACGGTAAAGAGCAGCGTTGTTTCATTTGAAAAACAAACTGTTTTAGTTGTTTGATGTGTTTTTAATGCTTTAAAAAAAATCGCATGATCACATTTTATTTTATTGTGTACCTAAGGCCTGGTCAGGATCGGTCTCATCTGTTCAGAAAACAAAGAAAGAAAAAGAAAAACGCTTCAAACATGGTCATCATTTTTGTAACAAGTGAAGAAACCTATGCCTATCACTGAGGAGCTCACACGTGCCACACTTACCTTGACCTGCTCTGCTTTGGACATCAGAATGCTCACTCTGAGAGACATTAGTGGGGGCTGATAAAAAAGAAAAAAACCTCATGAAATATGTTAAAAGTATCTATGTCAAACTGCCTTCCATATACATTGTTACACTTTATTTCTGAATACAAAATGAAGTTCATTTAAATCGTCTCTGTACTAAAGCACATGTAGAAACCCTTCAACAAACCACATATGTCATATAAAATTATACAGAGCCTTACTTCCAATGCTTGTCTTGTTCATTAGTTCAGAAGTCAAAGAGTCATTCTGGGCGGATGTGGATGTAGCAGCAGCAGCAGCATCAGCAGCAGTAGTAGGTAACATAGTATTGGCTTTAGGCGTGTCTCTTGTAGGAAAATCTGTTGGAGCTTGACGATAAAATAAACAAGCAGTCTTTAGCCCAAACTAGCTTGTTTTTAAAAGCACACCAGCTTGTCCCTTTCCCCCCCCCTTTACTACAGTATATTATTTATTACCTTTAAATCCACCGTATTTTAAATGTCTTTACAAGTACTCCAGTATGCAGTTTAAGGTCACAAACCGTGCTTCTACATCTACAGGTGTGTCCTAAAAATGGTTTTAAGGTGAGCTTTGAGAAACCGTTTTCGTGCTCAGGAGATGCATGTAAATTCCATGAAACAGGACAATAAAGCAAAGTGAAATGCAGAGAAATTTGGAAGAGGGCTTTAAGAAACACTCACCATCCAGAGGAGATGTGGTCGTATTTGTAGGAGGAGAGGGAGATGCTGCTGTTATTGCCTTTGCTTTTGTCGTATTTGTTGTTATTGTTGCAACTGTTGCCGGTCCTGGTGCTTTTGTTGTGGTTGAGGTTTGGTTTGACTCATTTTCTGTGTGATATGAAGAAATCATGAAGGAAGTTAAGGAAAATGATTTGATTAGGTCCACATAAAAGTCTTTTGGTGGTTATTTAAAGATATATGTGATTGTGGAGAGGTTACAAGAGAGATTAACACACTTTGTCATCTATCCAGAGAAAATCTACAACCGACACCAGCTCACTGTTGAACTCATTGCATCTAAAAACTCAAAATCTTTGTCTGCATGTCTGTCTTGTAACGTCCCTGAGTGCCTTCTTTGGTTGGATTGTTCTCTGCGATCCAGATTTAAGGTATTTCTGCATCCGCTGGAAGGTATGTCTATCTTTTATGTACAGTCTTTGGTTTCACCATCAGATCAGGCCCTGACTCGCCACGTCAGGGTATGAAACAGAAAGATGGCTCCAGCAGAAATGCTCAGCTTGAGGTTTCACAGCAGGATTTTACTGACCAACGGGTGGTGCAGCAGTGGCTACAGCTTATATTGTCCACCTGTATGGTCTCCATTGAAGATTTTGGGTTGTGGTTGCTTTGGTAACCTTGCATTTCTCATAATTACTCATGGGAATGGAATTCTTTGGCTCCATCTGAAGTCGCTTCCGATCGCGGAAGTGACGGAAGCGATGGTATTCTTTGTCTCTGCTGAACACTGTGCCGCCAACAATGAATTCACTTGTCATCGTTACAAGTCACAAAACTTAAGTGACATGTTGCTGTTCTTTTCCAATGTGCACAAACCTTTTTAAAAATACTCAACCGAGAAAGGAAATGGTTAATATTTCTTTTTTGTTATTACAGTAAGTTATTACTTGTGTATCCTTGGTTGAAACTGTAAAGATATTTATCCCCAGTTTTGCTCACTGAGTCACAGGCTTGCTTTACAAGCTCTGACCGCCATCCTGCGTCGTGACTGTTTGGCGCTACTTTAAAGGCCAGCTTCTGAGACGACCGAGGGTCAAACGTGTCAGACGGGGTGAAAAGTCTAGATAGAGAAGGAGATTACGGCATGTCGAGGTGGATATCCTCTGCCCCAAGTGTCGCAGCAGTGTGAAGCTGCATCCTGTCCCAGACACATACAATTGTTGCTCCCCGACCTGTGTTAAGCTTCCTGCTGTCGATCACGATTTCATTCAGTGCATTTCACTGCAGTCCGGCTGCTTGATGGCTAACAGGACGTTTCTGCTCTGACCGCACAAAGATCAGACTGTTTTTCATGAATCTGGTCAGGAAGGAAAATCAAGTCTCCCTGCCAGACATAACTCTAAAGTATTTAAGGCAAGTCTCAAGTCAGGTCATTGAGTTATTAAAGGAAGAGTACGAGGCGAGTCTTCGGTATGTTGGATCATTCAGAGAGTTGTTTAAGTTCCTGCTAGTAAATCGAGGTAAAGTTAAATGTTAAGTATGTGTAAATTGTTTGCGACGCATCGTGGCCTTTTCAGTCCTTTAATCAGGTAAACAAATACAAGTCAAGCCTCAAGTATTTCAAAGCAAGTTTAAAGATCAAAAGCTAAAGATTTGCCAGCATCAGAGAGTTTCGGATCCTACCAGGCCCACACTTCATTACTTTTCCTTATGTGTCGCGGAACAAAATCTCACACAGATAATTCTAATGGCCCAGGCGTGGGCGTTTCCTCCAGCTTGTTTACCGCTTAAACCTTGGAAGAAGATTGGCTGTCACCTGGGATCTGTCAGGCTCAGGACAATAATCTGCTGTCTCTGTGATAGAGGGGGCGGTTTGGTTCTCACTGCCTATCTGCTGTTAGATCACCTATCTGCTCGGCACAGACAAGCTTTCAAGTTCTTTTGTTTCTGCACAACGAAAAAAAAACCCCCATCAAGTCAGTAGCCATGTGGCACTCTGGTGCTTTTCATGCCAGAGGTTCTGACTTGTATCTAACATCTGTTCACTCGCAAAAATCAGAAACAAATTGTCAGACTTGTTAGTTTGAAGGTCTCCGTTAAGATTTGGAGGCATAGAAACACAATCACATAAAAATGTGCTCCAAGTTTATCTCCCTTGGATAAGCAAAAATAGTCTGAGTGGATGTCCTTAAAGTAACGTAAGTGACTTTTGACCATCGCTGTGATCTTTATCATTGCACACACCAAGGGGGAAACGCATGGGTTAAAGGGAAGAACTATTAACCAGTGCTCAAACCAAAACAGAACACAACTATGGAGGCGGTCATCTTGATAGAAAGCCTACTACGTTTAGTTTTACTATAAATCAGTGAAGGCCGCCGTTCTACAGAATCTTCCCCACACAGAAACAAGGTTGTTGCTAACTATTAAAGAGTGCTGAAGACTTCTATCAGCATGTGATCAAGCTGTAGCCATTGTGAATGATCGCCCTACCTTGTGTGAAGACATGGGCAGATGCTAGAAGCAGGACAGCAAAAACCCTGACGGACTTCATGGCGATTCTGCAGCTGTGAACTCCTTAAACGTCTCCCTTCGAGTGGCCCGTGTGAAAGGTGTCCAAGCCTGGGTGCTCCGCTGCTGATGCTTATTTTGGCACTTCCTTTAGATAGAGAAGGGGAGGAAATACACTGGCTTCCCTTCCTGACGTAAACTGGGTGGATGTAGAGACTAACACAAGGCAGGCACTTGGCTCAATTCTGGGTCTATTTAACAATCATGTCAGTTTTGTATAATGTGGTGGAACCCAAAGGCAACTCCCATTGCTTATTTTTTCCTGCTCTGACACCACTTAACAAGGGTGAAGGAGACTGGAGAGACCTCATGGAGAGTGAACGGAGCAGAATCGGACAAAACAGATGAGATTAGATCTTTAAAAAAGTAGTTACACTGAGCCAGAGCTGTGTGTAAGTGAAGTAACTGTGGTAAATTTTGATAGTGGTGACATTGCAAGCCTTAATCCATTGGAAACCATTAACATACTACACAGTTCAGTCATCATGCACACACATAAACTGAGAGATAGAATCAGATTGGTAAATAATGACTGGAACTGATGACAAAGACCTGACAGCCCAGGGGAGCCGCTGAGATGCCAGCCATTTTCCACTGTTTGTTAAACAATGTCTTCACAAAACCTGTTGTCCAGGCGTGTTGGTGGTAACACACACACTCGCACATCGACCGATGCATAAAGTCAAGACAGCTGTTTTTTTGCAAAAGCATCACAAAATTAGTTTGGATTTTTATACAGAGTGAGGTTATAATCAAAGACGAAATGAGTTCTTCACTTTTGAACACTGCCCGCTTTTACTTGAAAAAACATTAAAAAAAAACAAAAACCTCATATTGTTTCCTACCCTATCCCCACCCCACCCCCAACAAAACCAAACTGCTGTTTTTTGGGCCCTCCCAAAAAACAGGATGTCAGAGTTTACTTCCTTTCATTTAAACATTGTGTTTAATAAATGAAAGGAGGTCCAAAAGAAAGACACTTGAGACACACACACGAGAAGTGGACTTCTTAGCTAAAATATAGAATGACTTAAATGTTTGTTTTACTAATTAGAAATTGTTTTTTTTCCACCGACAATAAAATAGACATAGCTGCAACATATTTTCCCAACACATTTTCAGAAAGCCTGACATTTCCAAAATTAAATGTAAACTTCAACTGCAACCTAATGTACATGCACACACCGATCACTTCATTCGGTACACCTATTCAGTTCCTCGTCAATACAAATGTGTAATCAGCCAATCACGTGGCAGCAGCTCAGTGCGTTTAGACCTGTTGACATGCTCACAATGACTCACTGGACTTCAAATCAATCATCAGAATGAGGAAGAAAAGTGATTGAAGTGTTTGTTTAATTTAATGTGTTTGTCCTTGGCAGGCTGGTTGGTATGAGTAAGGAAAGTGGCCTAAAAAGAGAAAATATGCAGTTAGCAGTTGGGTGGAGATATCTTGTTGACTCCAGAGGTCAGAGGGGAATGACCAGGCTTCTTCTAGCTGACAGGAAGGCAGCACTATTGCCAATATATAATCACTTGTTACAAGAAAGGTATGCAGAACATCACTCTCATCAGCTAAGAACTGCTACTGCAAAGTGTCGTCTCGAGCTCATGCTGCATTTGGATGTAAGGATCAGAATTTGGCATAAACAGCATAAAAGCACGGCTCCGTCCTGACTTGTATGAGCAGTTCAGGTTGCTGGTGGTGTAATGTGTTTGAGATATTGACTTTGGGCCCCTTTGTATCAATTCCCTCATTGTTTAAAAATCACAAGCCTACCTGTTGCTTACCATGTCGATCTCTTTAATTAAAGCGCACCCATCCTTTGACGGCTTCCTTCTCAGGTCATCTCAAACTTCTTTTGAACGTGACAGCGAGTTCGTTCTACTCGAATGGCCTCCAGTCACCAGATCTCAATCCAGAAGAGCACCTCTGAGATGTGGCGCAAACCAGAGTCGCATCATGGATGTGCAGCCATGCTGTCACATCAATCTGAGGAATGTTTTCAACACCTCAGGGTCCAACTCGGGCGTAGCTAATAAAGTGGCAGTTGCATGTATTTAAAAAAGAAACAAGGCTGCAGATCCCTGTTCTCACAAACAAGTGTGATTATGCACAGTGATTATGTTTGAGCTTAGCCTCCCGAGTTTAATCAAAGAAGTCACTGAGGTTGATAAAGAGGAAACACCTTTGCTGAGGAACTGCCAAGTAGCAATTTCCTATTTACATACTGCAGGGCTTTGAGCCAAGCTGTGTTTGACTGGAGCTGTAGAGGAGAATCACACTGAACTCGTATGAAACCATATATGACGATGACTTCTATCGGTTTTCAGGCGCTTTTCCCTTCCTGAACCCTGAGCTGCAAATTAAATACCACACCTCTACCGTCTTTGGTTTCCTCACAGGTTTAAATTACACAGAACATGAGTGGGCTTCCTGTAATCTCTCTGCAAAACACACACCTGATCACACCGCATTTGAAATCCACTGCGGGACGACTTGCAGGCCGACCTGCGGTCTCACGCACACATTCACCACACACACAGGAGATTCAGGTTCATTTCAAGTTGAAATTCATGCACATTTTTATTGAACAGTTATATAAAATACTTTTCATAGTTGCAAGTGCATGCCTCATCTGCCAACAGTTTTGAAGTTAAATTACAAAAGCAAGGCTTCATGTCGTGTAGTGAATTACTTGGGCACTTAAAGCAGTTTTTAAAAAAGATCTAAGTTTGTTTTTTCCTCGTTTCATCTTAAAGTATTGAGCAGTATCAAACCTGTAACTGATATACAAAGCAGAGGTCCAAATAATAGTCATAATAATAATAATCAAATTACACTTTCTGTGGCACATTTACAAAAACAAAACAAAACCGATTCACCTGTTATATGACACAAACAGCTAATCATGCATTTTGGAGTTCCACATGTAACCACACACCTCACAAGAATTGTCAAACATGCTTAATTGGACTGTGTGCACTTACAAGCGCAGGTTAAAAATTTCATTTCTCATCCATCATAGATAATTAAATGCTTCAATTACAAAAAAAAGAAGGCATAGAGCATCATGGTGTTAATTGAAAGTATGCAGTTATACGTTTCCAGTATATGTTCACTAAAGCGCAATATATTTCAAAACAGGCCTCCACAGCCAAAGTTTTCAGATGTTCTATTTCCTTTTGTTTGATTTTTTTTTTTATAAAACATGCATAGGCAGACACTTTATTGTATTCTTTTTTCCTTTTCTTTTTTACACAATATAGTTTCTCTATTTTTACTTTGTTCGCAATACTTAAAAAGAGAAAAAAAAAATAACACTCATTTCCAGCAAGCCACAATAAATCTACCCTCCCCCCCCCTCCCCCCTTCCAAAAGAGACAAAAAATAAACATATCTGCAAATGATAGATAGGTTAAGTGTAAATTCCAGTTATGAAACTCAAGAAAATAGGTATTCATTACTGAGTTATTTAGCCATTATACAGAAAAATCAGGTCAAAGCACACACCAAAAGAACCTGAGGTAAGCATAATATGTACAAAACCATAAAACGTTCCATTATTTGGCATTTCCACAACATTGCAACATTCTTTTTTTTTTTAAGACTGCCTAATTAATTTCAGAGCTATTTTATAAGAGTAGCAAAACAAAAAGTTATCAATAAATAGTCCTTATTTAGTTTGTACACCCTTATATGTTAAAAACATTATCTCATGTTCTGTCCTTTTTAGTGCTGTATTTTTGTAAACGTACGATAGTTAGTAAGAAGTTAAACGACTTTCCGTTTCGGTGTAAATGAGCAAGGGTCTTTCAAGAAAGAAAAAAAAAAGAAAAACAAGAAACTGAATCACCTTTAAGATCTCGATCTCTCTTTCTCTCCCCCATCGTTCTTTCCCTCTCTGACATACTGTGGTGTGGAGGTGAATCAAGCGCGGTTACGGCCTGACCCTTCAGAAATGTGACCTGGCAATAACTTAGCAGATTTGACTATGAACTAATATTTTGAAGGCATATCCAAAGACTAGCAAGTGAGATGTCCCCCCGTTATGAGCCATAGATGCCTCCCCCCTCCACATTCCAACACTCCTTCTCCTCCTCCATCCCACACCTTCACCCTCTGCCCCTTTTCTGTGGTGGCGGGTCGCGATGAGGCTGGGGGGCGAGGCAGCCCCGTCGGCCAAGGTGGCGCCTTGCTGCTGGGCCTTCACTGGATGTTGCTGCCGCTGCTGGTGCTCCCCTTGGCGTCTGTGCCGTTGGTCTCCGAGGACAGGGCCTTGTTGAGAGAGTTGAGGCTGGCGTCAGAAGGCAGGGCGTCTCGCCGCGGAGGCATCCTCTCGTTGATGCGGTCCAGGCCCTTGGCCTCTTCGAAGCTAGTGATCTTGTGCTGAGGCGAGAAGCCTTTGATTGCTGTTGAGATGCAGGAAATAAGGGTAGGGAGGGGAAGGGGGGGAGAGTTAGGATTGATTTTATATGGTGTAGAGTTTAAATGATTAAAAGAATGGGGGTGGAAGGGGTGGGGGTCACGCTCACATTCACCCGTGAATCACCAAATTTGATTATATTTGCTTTGCTCTTGAAATTGTGAGAGAAAAAAAAAATGTTTTACTGAGAAAATGACAACAGAGACTGCACCTGATCACCTGATGAGCTGCTGGCTAGTTCAGTTACATTTAATCCATGAAAACTGAATATCTAAAGGCGATCTCTGATATGATAAGTGTATGGCGTCGATCTCTCCAGACACACTTGTAGGTTTGGAAAACAGAAATACTTGCTTTCTTGGGTGGGGTCAGATGAGAAGATTTAAAAAAATAAATAAATAAAATAAATCCTGCCCATTAAATCTGGTTAGCTTAGCTTAGTAACAAGAAACAAAGTTTCTTTTGGCTGCTACCTTGTTTGCAAAGTGTCAATATCCTCATATTTCTATCCAAGCTGTCCTTTTTGATACAACTCTTCAAGGGATTTTGATAATCTCCTCCTGACTAGAACCATGCATCTTTTGCATGTTTGGCAAATGTGTTAACCACTACACTATGGAGCCGACTGTAAAGCGTTAAACTTCCACCCCTTGAGCGTGGAACCAAAAGCGAGGCAATCAAAGGAGACTACCAAAGGAATGTTTACAGGCTAGCACAAAATATTGTTTTTTTGGTTTCTATTAATAAT